CTGATGTACAGCATCCGCAGTTCCTTTGGTTTCTATCTCTAATTTCCCTTGTTAGCCATGGTCGAGCCACCTTTCCCATTTTATAATTTGTGCCAGACAGGAATAGTTGTTCCAATTTCTCTATGGAGTCTTTCAATGTTTGCTGTTGCCGATCACCATCATCCCTTTAAACAATGTTTGCCAATTTATCATAGCTTGCACCTCATACCAGCATAGTTTGCTTCACTTAGATTCAGAGCCCTAACCTCAGCATCACTAATGTCACTCTCCATCTTAATGAAGCATTCTATCATAACCACAAAGATAAGAATCTCACTATTACTACCTGAGCCAAATACACATTGATGTAAGACAAATAAAACGAGAGGTAAATATATGGCTCAGGTATTGGTGTGGGATAAATGTATTCTGATCATGGGCAGAGCACCAGTACCAGAGAAAGAGAGAGCTGTTTGCTGGGCTTCTTTTGAACCTTACTAAGGCTAGTGTTCCAGTGAATCATGTGACTGGAGTTGTAAATTGGGGTTTAACCTAAATACTAGGGGTCTCAACTAAAGTTTATGAAAAACAAAAGGAAATGAGAGTATAAAGGCGTAGGTAGTGAACAGGTTAGCAATAATCAAAGTGTGGCTAGAAGAGAGAAAATATAAGCAGCAGAGCACAGCAGAATGTTTGTGTTTTTTAATTCACTCGTGGGACGTGGGTGTCGCTGTCAGGCCAGCATTTATTGCCCATCCCTAGTTGCCTTTGAACTGAAGAGCTTGCTAGGTCATTTCAGAGGGCAGAGGAGAGTCAACCACATTGCTGTGCATCTGGAGTCGCATGTGGGCCAGACCACATGAGAATGGCAGATTTCCTCCCCTGAAGCATATTAGTGAACCAGATGGGTCTTTCTTGACAATCGACAATAGTTTCATTGTCATCGTTAGATTCTTAATTCCGGTTATTATCGAATTCAAATTCTACAAAATGCCGTGACGGGACTTGAACCCAGGTCCCAAAATATTACCTGAGTTTCTGGATTAATAGTCTAGTGATAATACCACTCGGCCATTGCCTCCCAGAATTATAACCAGAATAAGTAATTATTGTTAAAAAGTCAAAGCTTAAGACTGTTTATCTGAATAAATGCAGCATTCGTAACAAAATTGATATTTGAGTCTAATGGAACCTTTCAGGATCTAGTGAATTTCAGAATGTTAACACTAACACATGATCTATCTCAAAAGAAATCTCTTTAGAACCTGGGGTGAAGAATATCATGACCCAGTGTCTTATCAACCTGCAACTCCATCTGTTTGCTCATTACTACTTCCCTGGTGACTATAATTTTACCAAGTTTCTCTCTCCCTTCCTCTTCCTGATTTACTGGAATATTTCTGTATCTCTACAGTGAAGACTGAGACAAATATTTGTTAATTTCATCCACCATCTCCTTATTATCTATAATTAGCACCCCATTCTCACTGTCTAGAAGACCAACATTTGCTTTACTTACTCTTTTCCTTTGTCAATACCTGCAGAAACTCGATGCCTTATTACTTTTCCAGCTAACTTCGCAAATTCTAATTTCTTTCTCCTGATTAAGGTTTTTCGTCATTCTCTGCTGTTCTGTATATCTCTTTGATCATCTGTCCTACCTATAATTGTGCTATTATATGTTTGAAGCTTTACATAATTAGTTGACCATAGATGTTGTGACCTACCTTAATTTTCTTTGTAGTAAGAATACATTTCTTATGTGTATTCTGAAATATCCCTTTAATTGTCTACCACTGCTTCTTCATTGATCTATTCCCTAACCTATTATCCCAGTTCACCCCATTTTACTTGCATTTCCTTGTTTAACATTAAAATACTAGTCTTAAATCTAGTCTTAGTGGTATTATGTAAAATATGTTCACATTATACATTTTCTTTTATTTTACCTATTTTTCAAATCAAACTGTTCAGAGATGTTATTACACACACACAAAAACAGAAATTGTTGGAAAACAACCAACAGAACCTCGGAACTGGTTCTGCAGAAGGGTCACTCAACCTAAAACACTAACTCTGATTTCTCTCCACAGATACTGCCAGACCTGCTGAGCTTTTCCAGCAATTTCTGTTTTTGTTTCTGATATACAACATCCGTAGTTCTTTTGGTTTTTATGTTGTTACACACCCCTGGAGTACGTGGTAATTGAACCTGGGTCTCTGGGTTTAGGGGTAGGGGCATGACCACTGTGCCACAAGAGGGCCCCTTACATTCATATTAAAATCACTGCTACTTAGGGATTCCTTAATTCTGAGCTCATCGGTTAATCCTGTCATATTTCACATTGGCAAGTCTAGCAAGCCTGCTTTCCATTCTGAGGAAGGGTCACCGGACCCGAAACGTTAACTCTGTTTTCTCCTCCACAGATGCTGCCAGACCTGCTGAGCTTTTCCAGCAACTTTGTTTTTGTTCCTGCTTTCCAGTCAGTTCCAAAATGTCTTGCTGTTAGCAAAGAGCTATCTTGAAAGCATTCTGTGAATACTCCATCGAGATTTCTATTAGCAACATGATTTTTCCAGTTTACTTTCAGATTAAAATTGCTAAGGATTATTGCTGTCCCTTTACTTGGGTGTTCAATATTTCTTTGTGTGTACTTCCTCCTATTTTGTGTTAGTATTATGGGTTCTGTAGATCATTCCCACTAGTAACGTCTTTCGACTACTTTTTCTCCAGTCCACCCAAACTGATTCTTCCTGGCCACATGAACCAAGGCCACCTCCAACAATTGCACCAATGCCATCGTTAATTAAGATTGTTCTCCTTGGAGTGGAGAAGGCTGAGATGAAATGTGATAGATGTTTCTAAAACACGCATGGGCTGGATAGAGTTGAAAGCGAGAAGCTGATCTCACTCACAGGAACACGAAGAAGAGGATGTAGTTTTAAAGCCGTGTGCAAATGAAGCAAGAGCAATGTGTGGAAAAAAAAATCTTCACAAAACGAGTAGTTAGAGTACGGGATACTCTATCGTGAAATGCGTTGGAGGCAGGTTCAATTAAGGCATTTAAGAAAGCATTGGGTAATTATTTGAATATCAATGATGTGCAAGGGTGTGGGAAAAAGCAGGAAATTAGTGCTAGGTAATGGTGCTTGTTTGAAGAGCCAGTGCAGGCATAATGAGTTGAATGGCTTCCTTCTACGCTGTCGTGATTCTGTGGTAGATATCCGTGATGCTGGGATCTCTGTAGAAAGCTGAAATGGCTGGAGAAGGTAGCAAATGCTTTAGTCTTTCTCTTGCACTGATGTGCTTCCCTCTCCAGTTGTTGCGGATCGGAATATTTGTGGAGTCTCCAAATACAATGAGTTGTTCGTCAGCATTTAAAACTGAATGTAGCAGGATTGCAGAACTTAGATCTGATCCATTGGTTGTGGAATTGCCTAATTCTGAATCATTTGCTGCTTGCACTGTTTGGCATGAAAGTCGTCCTGTGTTGTAGCTTCAGCAGGTTGACACTTCATTTTTTAGGTATGCCTGGTCTTGCTCCTGGCATGCCCTCCTACACTTTTGGTTGAACCAAGGTTGACCCTATCTTGATGGTATATCGTCAAGAATCGGGTGACACAAACTGAATGTTATGAGCAGGTTATTGATGAATCAGGACCATTTGGTGACTTGATGAAGGTGGACTGATTTGCCTCGTTTGCTTTTGTCTTGCATTTTGTGGACAAGGAATAAATAGGCAATTTTCCAAATTATTAGGATTATAGCTACTGTGAAACAGCTTGACTAATCGCATCCCAAAAAAAAGTCATATCTGAACTCGACCTCACCTCTGTTTCTGTCTCCACAGATGTTGTCGGATCTGGTGGGATTCTCTAATAGTTCTTGCTTTTATTTTAGATATCCAACATTTGGAGTAATTTGCTTTTATTTTGACCTGGGCGATGGCTAGTTCTGGAGCACAAGTTGTCAGTATAGTGGCTGGGAAACTGTAAAACCAGTTGCATTTGCTGTATCCAATGCCTTCATCTTTTACAAAAAGATAACGTGCAAGGACACTCAGGTCCATTCTCCACTGCAGCATTTTGCAGTGTGTCTCCATTTCAGCAAAATTCTGACCACACATTTTACGAAATCGTTGTCCATCTGCCAAATTTCTGATAACAGACCTTAACCTACTGTGTCTGGTGCGAGCGGAGTACCAGCTCAGTTTACACAAATATAAGTTTGCTGTTAATTCCAGTGAGGAATTCAGGAGAAACTTCTCTGCCTGGAATGGTTAGAATATGGAACTCACCAGTACAGGAGTGGTTATAGCAAATTGCTGAGATCCATTTAAAGAGAAGCTAGTTAAGTAGATGAGGAAGCATCTACTATTTTTATCTTGTAAATTGTATGTAATTTTTTGGATTATGAGAGGATTGTCCTGTGTATAGAGCAGGAGAATGAGGTCATTATCATAACTTAATTCCCATTTACTAAATACCACTGTGTTTCCTCAAAGTGAGGTCTGATGCTTGAGAGCAGTACATGGGTTGCACTGCTCTCTGATGATTGTTTAATCTCTCGCTTAGACCTTTAGTCAGAGTCCTGGTAGAACAGAGAAGTAGGCTGGGAGTATTAGAGCTAAGAGCAGTACTGGTTATATTAATGTAGGTTTGAGCAGATGTAATTGGATAGAGGATTGGAGTTGAGGTCCTTTTTCCTTATTTTTTCTTTTACTCCTCCATCCACGATGTATTTCTCATCCAAAATATGATACAATTGGAGCATTTAGACGTACCCCTTCCCCACTGAGAAGCAACTTGGTATACAGCTTAGAATGAATGCAAGAATTTTCTCATTTGACTGATCAAGTTAACAGCTGTAAGCCCAGAGATGTATTTTTCTCCAGGTTGTGCACGTATTGAGAAATTAAACGGAAATTGATCATTTTAGTTCTAAATTTTACCAAAGGTTACATAAAGACAAATGTCAGACACATACATGCATATAACTATTTATTTCCTTTCCATTCTAGATATGGAATCTTTGACCGCTGTCGAGAACTTGTGGAAGCAGGTTATGACGTACGGCAGCCTGACAAAGAAAATGTTACACTTCTGCACTGGGCTGCTATCAATAACAGAATTGATCTGAGCAGGTAGTTGTTTGAGAGTCTTTACCGTTCATTGAACTGTTGTAAACATTGTGAAATGATATAAGTTGTCTTCTAATAACTTGTTTAAATGCAATTGGTACTAAGATTGGTGCTTGGGACAGTCTGATTTGTGTAGTAATAATTGCATTATTTTGGACTCATATTTCTTAAAAGTGTGGAATGCTTACACAAAGTGAATCTTATTCGCCAACTTTGATAAAATTATAATGTTTGACTTGAGGAAGAGTTTCAATACCCATTTATTTATTCCTCACAATTAATTCTGTTCAAGATTTTGCAGTTTATATGACAACCAGAGCACGTGGACAGCAGTGTTTGAAGAAGGCAGCTTACCATCACCTTCTCAAGGGCAACTAGGGACGAGCAATGAGTACTGGCTAGCCAGCGACTCCCATGGCCCATAAGTGAATTAAAAAATAATGCACTTTTGTTTTTATTCATTCATGAGATGACAGCTGGCATTTATTGCCCATCTGTAAATTGCCCTGAGGGCAGTTAAGAGCCAACCACAGAGCTGCGTGTCTGGAGTCACATATAGGCCAGACCAGGTCAGGATGGCAGTTTCCTTCCATAACGGAATTCTTCAGCTATAGTGACAATACTGGCATTTACCTGACAATGTGAAAAATTGCCGAGGCACGTCCTGTATGCAAAAAGCAGGTACAAATCCAATCGAGCCAGGAGTCACGAATGGTGCCGAACAAAGATCTGGACAATGTCCAGGCCTTGGGCTGACAAGTTGCAAATAATAGTCGCACCACACAAATGCCATCTCCAATAAGAGACAATCTGATCATCACCCCTTGACATTCCATGGTGTTGCCATCACTGAATCCCCCCACTTTAAATATCCTGGGGGTTACCATTGACCAGAAACTCAACTGGACATGCCACATAAACGTGAGCAGATCAGGAGCTAGGAATTCTGCAGCAAGTAACTTGCCTTCTGACTTCCCAAAGCCTGTCCACCATTTACAAGGCACAAGTCAGGAGTGTGATGGAATTCTCCCCCCTTGCCTGGATGGGTGCAGCTCCAACAACACTCATGAAGCTTGACACCGTCCAGGACAAAGCTTGACACCATCCAGGACAAAGCTGCCCCCGCTTCATTGGCACCACATCCACAAACATCCATTTTCTCCACCATCAGCACTCAGTACAGCAGTGTGTACTATCTGCAGAAATTCACTAAAGATCCTCAGACAGCACCTTTCAAACTATCAACCACTTCCATCTAGAAGGGCAAGGGCAGCAGATAAGTGAAGTAGAATTAGATTTTGTTGTCACGTTTACTCCAGTACAGGAACAAAGGAGTACAGTGAAAATTATACAAAGCCTCCATTCCACAGTGCCATCTTAAAATACAAAACTAAAAACATGAGAAGAAAAAAAAGTAACAGAAAAATGTCCAGATTTGAAAGTTTTAACTCCCCGGGCCTAGCCCTGACCTGGAGTTTTGGTCAGCCTGCTCCTGGGTATTCTCCACCAATCACCTTTTCCAACGCTGATGCCGCCACTGATTGCCGGGACAAGTTGGCTCTAATGCCTCCACTGCCACCACCATTTGCTGGAACGAGCTGCCTTTGTTGCTGCTGCCATTCATCAAAGGCAGCCACCTTGATTTTGCTGCCACAGTTGTCTCCAATCACTGGGAGAAACCAACTCTGTTGCTGCGGGTGCCGCACATGTTCCTGCAAGTTTCCCCCCAAGTCACGCACCATCCTGACTTGGAAAAATCTTGGAATTCCCTCCCTATGGACGTTGTGGGTCAATGTACAGCATGTGGACTGCAGCAGTTCAAAAAGGCAGCTCACCACCACCTTCTCAAGGGGCAACTAGGGACAGGCAATAAATGCTGGCCCAGCCAGCAATGCCCATGTTACATGAGTGAAGAACAAATAAAGTACAATGCATTTAGTACAATCGAATGCTAGCCTGGCCTCTCGCTATAATTTTGCTTTTAATTCAGTAATTTTGTAACTGTTTTAAACAGAAGGTGCAAGAATTACTGGGAGAAGTCATATTCATGGAGCCATAGAATAATTTCAACACATGAGGCCCTTTGGCCCATCATATCCAATCGGGCTCTTTGCAAATGCAACTCTGCATGTCCCATAGTCCCACCTCCTCTCGATTTTTCTACTCTATGCTGCCTTGAATTTTTTTTCAGTTAATCATATAATTCACTTTTGAAGGCCCCAATTAATTCTGCATCAACCACACTTTCAGGCAGTGCATTCCAGATCCTAACCATGCACTGAGACAGTCATGCTGGCAGAGTGCTGGTAGTTTTCTCACAATGAGGTGCAAACATCCTTTGCAGCACAGTGGCTTAGTGGTTAGCATTGCTGCCTCACAGCGCCAGGGATCCAGGTTTAATTCGGCCCTCGGGCAACTGCCTGTATATAGTTTGCATGTTTTCCCTGTGTTTGCATGGGTTTCTACCCACAGTCCAAAGAGGTGAGTGAGCCATGGGAAATACGCGGTTATAGGCTGGGGGGTGTGGGGTGGAGGCGGGTGGGTCTGGGTGGGGTGTTCTTCGGAGGGTCGGTGTGGACTCACTGGGCCGAATAGCCTGCTTCCACACTATATAGGGATTCTATGATTCTAAAGCAGTGGGATCTTGACACTACATCTGATATGTTTTGTCTATGATCGTCAAGTTTTTGATATCATCATTGATAAATCAAAAAGGCCTTGAAGAGCATTTAGCTTGGTTTGAAGACAGAATTCTAACTGCTTTGTAACTACGTGGTTTTTGACTGTGCCTTGCAGTAGATGCTTGTCTCAGAATCCATTCCATTTATTTGGACCTTGACACTTTTTCAACAGTTTAGTTACACATGATGACTGTCTTCTTCAAGTTGAGGACAACAAGCAGTTAATAGTTGAACTGACCAAGTCTGGACTGGTCTGCTCAGGTTACAAATGCCTTTGAAAAATCAAAAGAACTGCAGATGCTGAAAATCAAAAACCAAAGTAGAAATTGCCAGAAAAAAATCTCAGCGGGTTTAGCCACATCAGTGGAGAGAAATCAGAGTTAATGTTTTGGGTCCAGTGACCCTTCTTTAGAACTGATGGTAGTTAGGAAAAAGTTGCATTTTATGCGGAAGAAACGGTGGAGGAAGGGGATAGGAGTAAACGATAGGTAGCGATAGAGTCCAAAGAGAGAGAAAAACAGTTGGACAGACAAAGGATTGGATAACAGTCAGCCTTGGAGAATGAATAGCTGCTAATGTGGACCATTAGTGGCTAACAATGGTTTGTGTGTAATAGTAGACCACATGATAACAAGGCCTGGTGTGTTGGGGCGGGGAAAGCATGGGGAAGGTTCTCAAACCCTGAAACTCTTGAACATGATATTGAGGCCAGAAGACTGTAGAATTTCCAAGTGGAAAATGAGGTGCCATTCTTCCAGCTTGTGCTGAGCTTTGCTGAAGCACTGCAACAAGCCTGAGACAGAGATGTTGGTCAGGGAACATGGTGATATATTGAAGTGGCAGGCATTAAAACATTATCTCTGATTTCTCTCCACAGATGCTGCCAGCCTGCTGACATTTTTCCCGCAATTTCTGTTTTTGTTGCTTTAGCCTTTTTTTTAATTCAGCATTTTACCTTATTGGAGTAGTTTTTATTTTGCAGGTATTCTGGGTGATACAGTGGAAACTTGTTTCAGGGAAACATGCCCTGTGTTTCCTAGATCTTGTTAAGTAGGGAAGAGTGATGAAAATCTGGCATCATTGTTGGCGTGGTGTGTCAGGTGAAGGCTATTGATATTAAACTTTGCATTGTTACAGCATAGTTGCTGGGGAAAATACTATTGAATATGATTCTTTCCCCGAGTAAAATTATGCTTCTTGAAATTGCCTCTGAAACTTCACTTGTGCTTGTTACCTCCAGATGTCACTATTATGGTGCTCCCTTGGGCAGACTCCCATGCTGTACTGTTCTAGTAGCTTCAGTTTTACAGGGCATTTGAGAGATTACATCTAGAGTATTGTGGGAGAATGTTAGTGCACTGGAAGCAGTTCAGGGAAGATTTACTAGATTAAGATCTGGAAAAAGCAGATTGGCTTCTGAGGAAAGGCTAGACAGACAGGCCTCTATCTTCTGGAGTATATAAGAATCGGAGATAACTTAATGTGACAACTTACGGTGGCATGGTGGCTCAGTGATTAGTACTGCTGCCTCACAGTGCCAGGGACCTGGGTTCGATTCCAGCCTTGGGTGACTGTCTACGTGGAGTTTGCACGTTCTCACCATGTCTGTGTGGGTTTCCTCTGGGTGGTCCAGTTTCCTCCCACAGTCCAAAGATGCGCAGGTTAGGTGGATTGACCATGCTAAATTGCTCATAGTGTCAAGGGTGGGAAATGCAGGGATAGGGTAGGGGTGGGTTTGAGCGGGGTGCTCTTCGGAAGGTCAGTGTGGACTCCATGGGCTGAATGGCCTGCTTCCACACTCTAGGGGATTCTATGATAATGAAAACATTAAAATCCTTAGAGGACTTAACTCTGTGGATGTGGAGAGGATTTTTCCACTTGTGGGAGAGTCTAAACCCAGAGGTTATAATTTAAAAATAATGCGCAATGCATTTAAGACAGAGACAAGGAAACAGTTTTTTTCTCTCTGGGTTGAGAGTTGTTGGAATTTCCTTCCTCAGAAGCTTTTGAATGCAGAATCACGAAATTCTTTTTTAGGCAGATGTTGATCATCGAGGAGATGAAAGTTTGTCAGTGATGTGCGGGATGTAGAGTTGAGGTTAAAATCAAATCAGCCATGACTTTATTGAATGGAGGAGCAGGCTGGAAGTGCTAAGTTGCCAACTCTTGTTCCTTGTTAACACATATTCGCATATTCATGTTAACACCATTTAAACTCTGCTGCCAAATCACCTATCCTGCAACAAGTGAACCTTACATCAGTGGTAGAGAATTATTGAAGAAGATTCTGAGGGACAGGATTTACTTGCATTTGAAGAAAAG